AGAAAGCAGACTGTTTTAATTCTCGTCACAGTCTCTCAAGGCCATTTTTCAACACAGAAAACCCATTTTACATCCTTACCAAACTTCTTGGTGTACAAGCACTGCCCAAGGATGTCTTTTTTCATTGAATAAACGGCTAACATCCCGTCATCCGGGAATCCTAAAGCACTGGGAACGAACGCGGCCAATAGTGTCCCGTCGGAGGAAAGGTCGCAGCTTGCATCGTTGTGGATTTTGCAGCAAGGCACGATTACATTACAAGTATCTAAGGAAACATGATAATTGTCAGATGATCTAGACATCTAAACCAACACATTTACATACAAACATACAATGCAACCTCTATATAAGAGTTGTTGGAGTACAAGCACAAAAGTCCTTGATAGTATCAAGGAGTATTTGTCAAATATTCCTCAAAAGACAATATTGGAGGGCGCTGTTAGGAGCATTAGTCTACTCCGACGAAAACTTCCCTCTTTTGCTGGTCTTCCTTTGTTAATATTCTCGACAGAGAATAACTGTTGACAAGAGATTAGGAACAAACAACYRGGTTTTTACTTTCTTCCCAACCCCCTCCCCTTCCGTCATTTTTGACCTAACATAGGAAACCCGCAAGGTAGAGCTGTCTGCGGATAAGCCTAACATAGGAATCCCGCGTAATAGATCTATCTGCGAATGATACTATGATTGAGAACTGTGTCGTATTTAGAGCGGATTTCGTATGAGTGGGAAACGGACGGTACTGTACTGTGACCGTAATCGTACTGTAACCAAATTCTAAATCCGCTCTATTAGACTGCTTACCATTATTGATATCAGGCATAACACACTTTGAGAAGTCCCACCATTGCAACCGATGTGTAGTGTTGATAATATTGCTAGCAACAGCTCCTTCTCCACTCCCAGCAAATGCCCCAGCAATAGCGCGGTTGATTGCCGTTCTGAGTGCAATTTGTGGTCCACCTTCGTTGCCATTAGCGATAACCACGGCGGTATGTACGTGTCTGAAGGTTCGCGCGGTGGCAGTAGCAATKGCCGTYCCTGACCCTTCTTGGTGCGAAAGAGTCGAAAGACTGGAACTGTGGTTATTTCCATGCGCAACATAGCTCGTTCTAGAGCTTGCTGCTCCCACATTGACGACAGACCCAACGCCTGATACATATCGATCGGGATTTTCCCGAGATGAACCCGAATCGCTTTCGATTTGGACATTGACACCCGACGACCTGACACTCCTCGAACGATGCCCCAACGTTTCCATGACAGTTGCCTCGGTGCTTGAAACTGAAGGTCTGTAATCATTAGTGTCCATGGCAACATCGGATGATGTCATAGCAACACTAACGTCATTTCCTCTGTGTGATGGATTGAGGAAGCTGATGCTTTGTGAGACGTCCTCGTTACCTGAAGCACTGACGACGGACTCGATCTGGAGTTAGTCTCACCGCTCTCCATGTCTTGATTCTCTTCTTCTGAGATCCCTGTGGTGGCCCTGACCGAGACATTGGAGGAACTGGGTACGGCACGCTTTACTCAGCGATGCCCTTATAATATATAGG